AGAGCTGATAAAGTCCAACGCCATGAAGTCCCAGTCTCTCCAGGAGCAGCAGGTACTGCTGAAGCGTCGCATGCGCGCCGCCGAGGACGTGCTGAACGCACTGAAGGTGGAGTTCGACCTGTGTCAGCTGGACTCGGGCCGCGACTCGCCCGACCCCGGCTACGCGCTCGTTTTGGAGCGGGTGCGGACACTGCACCAGAGCCAGAAACACCTGGCCAACCAGGTGCACGAGCTGGAGAAAAAGGAAGGTGCTTATCGGGAAACGCTCCAGGAGGCTGATAAGATCATGCATACCGTGGAGGTCCGGTATCAGAAGAAGATCGAGGAGCTGGAAGATCAGCTGAGAGAAGACAAGAACAAAATCACGCTGATGGAGGAGACCGAGTCAAAACTGAAACAGGCTCTGAAGAGCATGACCAATGGCAAGCATGACAAGGATAGAGTTACCGATCTGCTGGATAAACTAATCGAAACCGAAAACGAGGATCTCAAACTGAAGGAGAAGGTAAGTGTAAGTGCGTGATAAAGTGGTGATTTCGTTCTGCCTATTACCAAGGCATGTTTAGCGTACTGAACTTTTTTAAACGTTACTTAAGTTGATGATTCCACCCACATCAACAAAGTAAAACAAAGCTACGTGCAACAAGAGGGGGTCGACGGATCACGTTTTATAACATCAATGACTTATGTACCCTACACAGCGTTATCGAAACCAACGCATCCCACGCCTGCCGCCAGGTGTACCGGCTGGAGCGGCGCGAGCGCGAGCTGAGCATCCGGCTGCGCGAGGAGGAGCGCACCGCCGAGGGCCTGCGCCACGAGCTGCGCGACCAGGAGGAGCTACTGCGCGAGCTGGACGGGGCCCGCCGAGAGCTGGGTGCCGCCACAGAGCAGCTGGCGGTGCTGGCGGCGCTGCGACAGCGCTCGGCCGAGCTGCAGCAGAGCGAGGAGTTTTTGCGCGGCCGGATAGAGGAGCTGGAGCAGGCGGAGCTGGCGCTGCAGGAGACTCTGCGCAGTGTCAAGACGGCCCAGGCACACAAGTCAGTACCGGAAGCGCGCTGATGCCACCTGCTGCTCCCCTCTCCTCTCAGAAAGACCAGACAGGTTCTGCGCACCAAATCACTCTTTATCTCGTGATTGTAGTATCTTATTCCGTCTTCTAAGCCGTGTGTATTTCTACAAATTAGTTCCCCTGGTCGCTGTGGCCGGTCTGAGGACCGTGCGACTGGTCCGTGAGCCACTCTGGTCCGTGACCGCGCGCCGCTGGTCGCTATGTCCGGTCCGAGGACCGCCGCATGACCGGTCCGGGAGCCGCTCTGGTCTCTGACCGCGCGCCGCCGTCTCCGGCAGGGAGCGCCGCTCAGCCGAGCAGGTGAGCGCGCTGCAGCAGGACCTGGAGACGCTGCAGGCCACCGTGCAGGAGCTGCAGCAGCAGGCGACCGAGGACGGCGAGGAGCGCAGTCGACTGCGGCGCCAGCTGCAGGACGTGCACCGCGATCTCGAGACCACTAACGGCACGGCCACCGAGACCGAGGCCCAGCTCCGCAACGAGGTGAGCGAAACGAGCCAACGCATGCTGAACAGACTACAAGAAATATAGTGGACCGCTTGCACGCTTTACCTGCAGACTACCCGAAAGGCTTACACTATTGTTCAGCAAAGCAGTACTGTAAGGTGCCCCTGGACGGCGGTATTCGAAGGCATCACTGTTAGTGCTCGGTAATGTTGGTTTTATTGGCGATGTTTGTTCTGTTTATCTATTGCTGAAATAGCATCGCTTTGGCCGCCCCGATAAGCGCCGATACACCTAACATGTCTCTAAATCGGCAACGCGTTTTCAGCAACCATAATTAAGCCTCGTATTTTTGTCACCAGGTTTGTAAGCTCAGAAATCAGCTGTCTCTGGTGAACAGTCAGCTAAACGACAACGACTCGTACTCCTGTCAGCTCCGCGATCAGCTGGAGAAGGCCCAGGTATGAACGCAATGCGTGTACTCTGATTGGCTGTATCTCAGTTGCGATCGGCTGTTTTGTACAGTAACAACGGCGCACATGTATCAGACGCCCAACCATAGCGTCTCATGTTGTGCATTATATGAATGGCGTCTGTGAATCTGTAGCTATTTTGGAACAGTAACTTTTGACGGGGTAAATGCTGTTCTGCAGCAATTAGCAGAGCATCAACCAGTGCAGCGTGGAAAAATTAAAGCCTTTTGTCGTTGCCAGCATTTTGCACATATTTGACGAAAACCTCAAACGGTGTCAAATTTAGGTCAGGTTGTCGGCTCTTTGCTCAGGTTGTCACGGCTCCAGTTGCCGCGGCTCTTCAAGCATTGGCTCAAAATAACAACGGAGGCCAGCAACTCGGAACGAGACGTTCCCAGTCCAATCTGACCACGCCCGGCTCGTCTCCGCTGTGTCCATTTTGCGCACGATCTGTGTCCATAAAGCCCCTCCAAGGCCGGTCTGTGTTTGCAGAGCGCGATGCATCCCATTGTCCCATGGTGTGTTCCACACTCGGTCTGTGTCGGCAGAGTGAGAACAGCGAGCTGCGCTCGGCGCTGGACGGCCAGAAGAGTCGGACCGAACAGGACATCATACAGCTGAACCTGGAGATCAGCCGCCGCGAGGAGGAGATCGGCGCGCTCTCCGAACAGCTGGCCGAGCTGGACAAGGGCCAGCTGGCTGGCGAGCTGGACCTGCTGGCCGATCAGGAGGGAGCGCTGGTCAAGCTGCTCTCGCTGGCCAAACAGAGCAACGACAAAATACAGGTACGTCGTCGGCGCCTCGTCGGAGGCTGTGTTAGTGGCAGGGCCGCGCAGTAGCACGAGAGTGAGTCTTGTCCGCCTCGGCACATTGTGCCCGGTGCGTTGTGGGCTCATATTGTGCAAAGCATTCGCATCATACAATCCATTGTGGTGGGCTTGATGGGAGGCTGGGTCGGGCAGTTGTTCGAAGCTTGGTCTGGCGCCTCCGTACCAGCGATCCCTCTTCTGCTGTGTACCGGCGCGGCGGGGAGGCCGCCGCCGCCCCCGGCTCACACCGCCCGTCTGTCTGGCCGCAGTCTTGCGACACGTGCGCCGGCGAGGTGGACGGGGCTCTGCGCGCCGTCATCCAGCAGCTGGAGCAGCTCACCCTTCTGCTGAGCGGCAGCCACTCGGAGCAGTCGCTGCAGTCGCAGCTGCGCGGTAGGTCGGCTGGCCGGCCTGACTGGCACCGCCGCCACCGCCGCCGCCTCCGCCGGCGCGCTCAGACAGCACTGGGCTTCCACATGCAGTGTAACTGCCAGACTGTAGCTGTTCCAGGCTCGTCAGCACTGTGATTGGACCAACTGCTTTTCGTGCGGAAGTAAACATATTTTGTATTGCTGTGTGTGCGCACGCACTGACCTACATTGGATTGGCCGCGCACGAAAATTGTGAAATGCGTTCTATTCTAACGTCCCATCGGTGAAAAACGCGTTTACGAATCGCGTCAAGTGTTTGTTCTTCCTGGCGATTCCAGCCTGTATCCTGAAATCCCTCTGCTGGTGCATTTGACTCCCATGGGACGTGATATGTACACCACACATATCGCAAACGACCCTGTCCCAATCGTCCAAATTACAGTTTTGCTTACTATTCTTTGAGCTCCATGCCTCCTTGAACAATTTTGCACTTTGCATGGGCATGGTACACGTATGCTTTTTGTAAGTGCTGTGTTCTCTCTCGCGCGCGGCTAATCAAGGACCGCGGTGAGTCGAGGCGACGCCGCCTGACCCGGCCGTCATCCCGCCGGCAGACGCAGAGAGCCTGGCGGCAGCGGCGCAGCCCGAGCCGCCGCCGACCGCCGTCAGTGTGGCTGTGCAGGCGGACGGCGCAGCGACCGACGCCGCCCAGCTGGCCGGTCGCATGTCGGTGCTGCGTCAGGAGCTGGCCGACAAGGAGCAGGAGCTGGCGCTGGTGGACGGCCAGGGCTCGTACCTGCAGGCCGAGCTGGAGCAGCGCGACCGTGAGGCCGGCCAGCTACGCGCCCGGCTGGCGGAGACCGACGCGCTGCTGGAGCACCAGCGGCTGCAGCACCAGCGGCTCGGCCAGCTGCTGGCGCAGGCGCAGTTCGCGCGCGACGAGGCTGCGTCGCGTGCCGACGCGAAGGACGGCCTGCTGGGCGCCGTGCTGCGCCACCTTCAGGCCGTGCTGGAGGCGGGTCAGGCGGCGGCGCTGGTGCGGGGCCTGCGCGAGCACACGGCCGCCGACGCCGACCGCCAGGACTTCGACCGCGAGATGGTGTGCCAGATCCTGCAGCAGATCGTCACGGTGAGACGCCGCCGCGACCGCCGACGCCCGCGCCCGGCGTGCGACGTTGGGTGTTTGGCTCTCATGGGCGAATGCCGTGACATGCCGGGTTATACCACGTCACACACACCCATGTGCGATGCAACGTCAGGCCGTGGTTGGTAGTTTTGCCGATGTGTCACAGCCTAATGTCTTTCTAGCTGGTAAGGGATTGGATAAATATGTTCATAATGACACGGCTGCGTGGCTGGGAGTGATGATTTCGGTTTTTTTCTGCGCCCGTGGTTTGACCTGCGAATTTAAAACACCACGATGATTTGATCTAATTAGGTAACATTTTTGTACCTGCGAAAGTGCTTGAGCTGGCGCACTCTAATTCTCACCACTGATTATCTCCCTATCAGCAAATGTCAAATACTTGTTGGTCATCCCTAGCTCGCAGCCTAGCCTTGCATCGTCTCTGTCCGTGTCAGACGATGTTGGCAGAACACCTGCTCGTCTCTGGTCCCCAGTGTAACCGTGTGACCCTTGTGCCAATCCCAGGTAACGCAGGATAAGTGCTGGCTTGTTTGCATGTGCCACTGTGAGCACCTGCGACCAGTACCGTTGTCAGGTGATACAGGTTAAGCTGCTGCTGGTCGTCTGTCTTTTCAGCGTGAATGCGTTGCTTTCCCGTGTGCCGAGTTACAGTGGGTTCGGCACCTACCCGCCTTCTGGTCTCGAGCGGGACTGAGTGTCGTTCTGGCCCGTATGTCAGATAATCCGAGCCAAGTGCCTGTTCCTCGTCTGCAGCTCCCAAGCTGACAGCATATTGTCACCAGCCATATCAGGCGATGCAGCTTGTACTCCTGCCTGGGTCTGTAGTTTGCAGTGTGACCATGTGTCGCCCCAGTCGATGTGTCAAGTATAATGCGGGTTAGTCACATGCCTGTCTGCCTGAGTGTCAGGTATAATGCAGGCTGGTAACCTAGTCGTCTACCGGTGTAACGGCCGGTGTGTCGGGTGTAATAGGGGTTAGTAACCTGCCCGTCTATCGGTGTGTGAGGTGTAATGTGAGTTCGTAACCTGCTCGTCTATCGGTGTATCAGGTATGATTCGGGTTACTAACCTAGACGTCTACCGATGTAACGGTCGGTGTATCAGGTGTAATGCGGGTTAGTCACCCGTCCGTCTGCCGGTGTGTCAGGTGTAATGCGGGTTAGTCACGCGTCCGTCTATCGGTGTGTCAGGTGTAATGCGGGTTGGTCACCCGTCCACTAAACTCCATCACACGGAAAGCCTACGGCTTTCCGTGTGATGGAGTTTAGTCTGTGTCCAGCTACGAGTGACGCGGGTTGACCACCTGCCGTGTCTCTGACTTCCATGACCCTGCCTCAGTCAGATGACAAGGGTGAAGTTGCCGCCTCGTTCTCGATGTGACCGGGTGTCATGTCTGTGACTGCCTCAGGTGATGCGCGAGCGGGTGCTGCGGAGCAGGTCGAGCCAGAACGCGTCGCCCGACCAGACGGCGTCCGGCTCGCGCATCCCGCGGCTCGTGCCCAGAAGTCGCGAGAACACGCCGCCCTGCTCCCCACACAAGGTACGGCTCTGGTGCTCAGCCACCACCGTCAGCTGCGCTGGGGGGAGCGGAGGGGGGGGGGGGGTCTGGAGGCTGTCTGAGATCGGGTTTTGCGCACGGCGTTCTGTGCTGTGTCCATCGTGCTTCACTGTCTGAGTTACGCGTTCATTTGATAGAGTCCCCCCCCCCCCCATCCAGTTCGGCAGGACGTGTGGCAGGATGTCGGCGACGCCTGAGTCCGTCCCATCCCTGGCCTGTTGCACACGCTGTGAGGCGCGCGCTGCTCGTTTGCAGGAGGTGCCGAGGTCGAAGGTGCCCCAGCCGCGCTGTCTGCAGCCCAAGCGGAGCTGCGCGCCAGGTGCCCCCTGTGGGCGTGGCCCGGACCCTACCGGACGGCGGTCTCGCCGGCTGAGGGTCGCGAGCGGGCGCTGCACGCGCGCGCCGGCCCGGCCAAGGCGCCGGCGCCGGCTCTGCCGCCGCCCGACAACTTCCAGATTATCCGGGCCGTGGGTGGCGACAGTCTTCTGCTCTACTGGAGTCCCTCGGACGATCCCCGCATCTCCGGATACGAGGTAGCGGTCGCCACGCTGCTGCCGTACCGGTCGGACCCGGCCGCCGTTGCGGTCCGGTCGACTGAGGCTATACTGTGCCTCTATCGAACTGATGTGCCTCCGTCAAGACGCAATCCAAACTGTACTCATCCAGATGGTGGGAGGAAATCGAACTTTGCCGCACCTGTTTCTGTCGTCCCGAAATGAACTAAAAAGCGCTTACATACCAATTATACGTGCTACCAGGCTATTCTTTGCAAGCAGCATGCTCAGCTCACAACTCCCGCAGCATGACGTCAGCTATTCAGCGTGTGACGTGTTTGAACTCCGGCAGATATTCGTCAACAACCGGCTGCAGCAGCTGATCCGGAACCCGCAGCGCACGAAGGCGCTGCCTGCCGTCGCTGAAGCTCTCGTGCCAGATGCAGCTGGCGATCCGCGCTGTCGGCCCGCTGGACGCGTGCTCGGCGCTTGTCTGGGCCGAGTTCCGGCCGGGCCAGCTGGCCGGCGGCCGCTCCCGCGCGCCCCACCCGGCCGTGGTGGACGCGCCCTGAGCCGACAGCCCACCAGCCAGCTGATGAACGCCCGCTCCGGTGACGCGGCGGCCCCATGTTTCGGGACGCTCGCCGGAGCCGGAGACGGCCCCCAGGGCACGGGGTGGCCCCCGCGCTCGGTCGACCCGTCTGCCTCCTGAATGGTCTCCGAATGCCCGCAGCCGTGAATGGTCACAGGTGTCGTGGGCGGCGGCGAGAGGCTTCGCGTGCGCGGTGCGCGTCCAGCCGCAGTGAGCGCCGCTCGGACGCGCCTGAGTCTACAGGGGGTGTTGTGCGGGCGCGCTGTCGCGGCGCTGTTGGTCCCGCGACATGTGCCGATACTGCTGACCCGGCAGACTTGTCCATAGACGTACCCAGCAAAGCGGCGTAGTATGACCGAAAGGGCAAGGTCTTGCACCTGTAGCGAGCTATTGACCCATTGTTGTGTGCTGACTAATGTTCGCGTTCGGTTTGCTGCAGAGGGAGCGCGTTTAGTTTGGTATTTCCGTCGCTCGGGCCGCACTGGTCGAGCCAAGCGAGCCGGCGTGCCGTGCTAGCAGCAATGATACGTGCATAAATAAACATACATAAACGACGCTCTCTGTGTACAACTGGCTGGAAAGCCCAGTGGTGTGCGGGGAGGGAGAGGGGCTGGCTGCTGTCACCGACCCTGGCAATGAGTGTCTGGACCAAGCGTCTCGGGGGGCTGCTCTGTAGCGTGGCCCCTGGATGTCGACATCACGGAGCCACGGGTGCGATAGCACCACCACCTCAGTCACACCAGCCCGTTTCGCAAGGCTACCGTTAGCGTCTTCCTCGGTATCTCGGCTGGAAGGCAGATTCACTCATATAAACAGCTTGAATGGCTTAAGCTGAGCAATGCAGTGTACCTCTTGCGGTGTCGTAAACGTCTTCAGCCTAGTGGGATACGCGGTTTGCTGCCTGTCAGATGCCATCGGAATATTGCGGTTGAATTTGATTGCCGGCTACTCGCTTAAGAGCGCAAACGATTTATATGCCGGTTGGGGACATTTTGAAGAGTTTACCTCAGATCTAAGCAAGCAGAGCAGACAAACACCTGCATCAAACTGCAATGCCTAGATGGACAGCTTGCAACTCACAGGCAATAAAAACACTGCTCTACCCGTGAGTGCGTCAGTACTTGACATGGAAGTGGACAATGCTGCACGCGCATAAGCAGAGTGCGGTCCTCAAATTTACAGAGCTGCGCGCATGCTGCGCCGCATGATACGAGTGCATCTCTCGCAACTTGGGTCATGCGCAACTTGCGTACTTACTTACTTATCGATTACATGACTTGTGCGTACTTAGACCCCTCCAGCCCCTTTCCGTGATCTCTCAGGTCCCAGTGATTATATCGTTGTTCAGGTGATATCAGTCAATTTTGTACCCAGGAGCACGACATCATAGGCTTGCAGGCAGAAACTTATAACCGAAGACAGCACCCCTGTAGTGTTGTGAAATTACAGTCCTCTAGTCGCACGTGACGAACAAAACCTGCATCGCGCGTCGCGGAAGGTTATAGCTTGCATCTAGCCAAGTTAGCGTGGTTTACCTAATCCTCTTCTTGATCATATTTAATGACGCATTATCCACTTTACGTCTGCCCGCCACAAGTGGGCAGACTAAGGAAGCTTGTGGCCAGATGGGGCCCATGAGGTCTGCTGCGAACGCCAATACATCGCGGGGGCCCGGTTCGCTGCCCCAAACACGTATCGTGCGAGGCTACAGTCAACTTTGCGTCTAAGAACACGCCCAATAACGCCCCGTCTACACGCGGTGATGTCCTTAATGCAGCCGTTAAAAGTTTCTTCGTCGGAATGTTTTCGTTCGGTTTTCCCATCCGTCTCACTTCGTTTCCACGTGTTATTTACACGTCGTTTAAGCCCGCTGACCTCTGAACTAACAATGCATACGCTTATCTGTGCCGGTAAATTCAAGACATCCTGCAGTCATTATCAGAAACCATATTTTTTAAGCATCTTGACACGCACAATGTCGTGTCGATGACTTTCGTGCTCTGCCACGTTTACTTCATAATATAACAGAAAATAGTATATGCAGGCTTGGTCTGGCCTCAGCAACGCAGTTTGACGCAGCTTAGGCGTTAGTAAAGACTGCCAGGAACTTTGTCGTCTAGTTCTCCCTGCCGCCATGACGCAAGTCTCTTAACACAAAACCGAAACGGACATTTTCACTTATTTCATCACACCGACCTCCTCGAGTCGGAAAAGGTCAGGTGCTTAAAACACCAATCCATTACAGAAACACGCGGTCGAAGCGCTGCCGCGTCCTGTTCGGCTCCAGGGTGTGTACGTTTAAGATAAACTGCCGCCTGTGAGGCCTTCCGTCGTACTAGCGTGAGCGCAATGATCTCCCGGCCAAGACTGGTTAAACAGTTTCTTGAGATAAGTCAGTCGAACTGCCCGAAGAATGGCGAAATATTTGAAGGTATATGCAGAGGTGATCAACGTGAAAAATATGAAAACAACACCACACGATACCAACCTAAATAATAATCAGATAGCTACTCACATTAGCATGGTTCAGCTACGTGCACTTAACACGGCGTGCCAGGCGATAATTTGCTGACTGACGTAGGAGTAGACTGGCGGGCTGTTGGTGTTAATCACCCCTCTGCAAAACAACTGGCATACAGAGTGACACAAGACACAACGCTCGAAACTAGTCGCAGACCATGTTTATTCATAGCAGTGTGAGCTTCTCGCTGACCTAACTACTTCCAATAGTACCGATGTCGCTGGCGCTAGGGCACGCAAGATTATGCATGCTTTTGGTCATGTATCACGCTCACCTTGCTTCGAAATAGGACACCGTTGAGACACAATTCTAGACAAGTCTTCCAGGGCATCTGCCGTGCTAATCTTCACATTATCACACGTCAGCTATTTCGATTGCTGCCATCCCAGTTACGTCATGATGCTGCGGAATTCCAGCGGTAAAGAAAACCTACAGTGTTTGAAATGACCAGGTTGATCTTGATTAATTCCAAAATGAGAGGACGGATCGCACCTGCCGTTTTGTTGCAGTCCACTTGCTCTTTGTGGACAGAGACACCTTGCTATTGACCATAAACTAGTCCATCCTCCATCGTCGGCGATGACTTTATCGACAGATATCTACACAAGGAATTGCCTGACATTTGCAAGTTACATCATAAGATAAACATAAACTATCGGCTAATGCTGCCACGGTCCAGGCATGCATGGGCGTCGTCAAGGAACAAGAGTGCGGCCGCACAGCTCTAATATAAGCATCATGCACTCGGTGTTTAGCTGTCGTCAACGCTCATGGAGGTCTCGTAGTCCTGAAACCAGACGGTGTTTTCCATGTCGCTGAGATCAGGCTCGAAGTCGCTGAGAAGACCCTGCGGAGAGCCCACGGTCCTCGTGAGATAACGATGGCCACGCCAAGCAAAAATATGCACGCCCAAATTATTCGATTGAAACCTGTGTCAGAAAAACTAGGTAAGTGTCGACAGAGAAACACCTTAAATCGCATAAGTCTGCTTAACAGGAGCCAGTTGCCAAGTAGTGCCGTCTTCTGATATATAATGTTACTTACGTCTGAAATGGATCATGTAACTAAAGTACTTAAGCAACACTTACGTGGCACATAGGCCCGTAACCCTAAAGCCGAGCGTTCATTGACATCGAAAGGCAAAACTAGGAAAATGGACAGCAAAATGACAGAGGAACGTATACTGGTAAACTCAAACAACAGCCGATGGAGAAACTTCTGTCTTGAGACCCGCCTGTACTGCTCAGAGCAGATCGCCAGGTACAGGTTTAGTCCAGGAGCCACAATCCTAGGGTAAATGACGCGGCGTTCTCACTTTTTTCGCAGAACCAATTGTTTGGTTACATCAGAATGCCTAAATTATAGAATGAGGAAATGAGAGACAAAAACGCGGACAAAAGTTCTCAGGCTCGCTCTGTTCGGGAGTTCTGGCCAAAATATCCACGGTAGCGTAGAATGTAAAAGCAAGTGGTTTTGCCTTAGGTGCACCCTCCACGTCTAGCTTCACCTACACAGGCGGGCATACAAGTTTGGGAGGCTGAGGGATGCCCGACTGGTGGTCGCGGCCCGACATCAACTGGTCCACCTCGGCCGTGTGGACGGCATGACCGCTGTGGTCAGGCGCATGTACCGGCCGGCAGAGCACTGACCTGCAGCGTGCGTGATATGCAGGTGCGACACTCGAGCTTGCCCACGCCGTCGCGATCGGCGAAGCAGTCGCACTCCTGGCACGGGCTCGGCTCGGCCGCACCGGCCACCACCTCGGCCACCAGGTCGCGCATCGGCTTGCTCCAGCGCCGACCGTCGAACACGGTGCCGTTTGTCTCGATGGCCAACGGCGAGCACAGGTCCTTGGGGATGAGCACGTACGGGTGGAGCCGGCTGTCGCCGGCGCGCCGACTGCTCTGCAGGTCCTTGGTGGTGTAAGCCAGGCTGGCACCCACGGCTACCACGCTCGAGTCGTACTGCCGTGACGCTTTCTTCAGGTGGAACGCCGTGTCGGCCACCAAGCTCAGCTTCACGTCCATCAGGTTGAGCACCTTCAGTGTGAAGGGGAACTCCTGCTCGCGGTACGGACACGCCGAGCAGGAGAACACCACGATCTGCTTGCTGACACCACCTCGGAACGGCAGCATGCACGCCTCGCGGATGGCGCTAAAGACTTCACTCGGATCATCACTGTCGCCTGAAAGGTTCCGCACCAGGTGATCAAGAGCCCTACCTGTTGTATGGCTGGTGCCCCAGATTTCCCCCTTGATGGTCTTTATGTGAGGGAGGCGATAGATGTCGTTGCCTCCGTACCCAATGATAGCAAAGCGGCTCTGAGACATACCGCGCCTTCTCAGAAAGTCATCGATGGATCTAATTGTTCGCCGGAAGCTTCGACCTCGCTGGCAGGACTTCATCTCGACGACAATCACCACATCTGCGAGACGAGGCGCATTGAGCCGATAGAGCTTTGTCTCAGCTGCCTGCAGCACATGGCCATCCTCCAGCTCGCAGCGCACACAGCTCGGTGGCATCCAGATGTCGACGCCGTTGGACGCGCACTCGGTGACGTAGGCGGCGGCCGCCGTGCACACCATGAGGTACCGTCCCGGCGAGTTGAAGTTCGCCTCCAGGTCGTTCAGACACATCCTGAGGAACGGCGCGGTGTTGACGATGCCGTAGCACGGTCGCAGAGCCGACCTGGGGTGGTCGAACAGCGCCTTGCACGCGGCCACGGCGCGCTGGTCGCCCGATGCGGGAGCCCGCAGGGCCAGGTTTTTCACCCGGCAGGAGCGTCGCTCACCACGCACCTCCCACGTGCGGGCGAAGCTGTCGACACGTGTCAGCAGCTGACCAGATGGCGAGGTGAAGTCGTCCACTGCCTCGTTGGTGTAGGTGCCCAGCAGGCCTCCTGTGCGGCCGTGGAACTGGCCGGACAGGTGGAACACGCACACGTCGAACGCCACGTTGCACGCGACCTGGCTGTGCCCCAGGTTGAGGATGGTGCGACTACCGTTACGGGAGACGACGGTGGAGCCGAGCCGGAAAGGCAACTCCACTCGCCTGTCGTCCAGGAACAGGGACTTGCCCTGGACGAGGCGAAGCGTGTGATTGCCTTGGAATGCTGAGATGGATCTCCCGGTCGCTCGGCCGCGGGATAAATCGTAGTCCACGACGAGCGCAAAGCTCAGGTCCCTCAGATCAGCCGCGAGCAGATAACTGCAGTCCCCAGCAAACTCGTAGAACTTGTTGTCGAAAGTCAAAAAGTGCTGGTATCCGGCCAAAAGTGCATGGGCATCGTAAGGTGGAAGCCAAAGATCCGCTGTCAACAGGGGGGATACTTTGTTGATGTAGTCTAACAGCTCGTAGTAGAAAAAGGTGACATCCAAACTCAGATCTGTAGATTGTTTGGATTCTTCAGGGTTGAAGATAGGCATCTTGTTAAAGCTCTCCCACTTTACAGGAAGAGGCAAATTTGCCTCCACATATCCCGTTGAGGGTGAGAACTTCAAAAACGAATTATCCGTGATGTTCAGCCCACTTGTGCCATTTGCTCCATTCCTTGAGCCAGATATTGTGCTCATGGCCCAGTTAATTGTCTCTCTTATCTGGTTTCCTTCTTCCCAATATTCCCATATCCAGGACGTCTGCCTGTATATGCGCTGAAACCATTCGAAGAGAATACGCACAGGCGGCACATCGTCTCGGATCTGTGACAGCAGATTCACTGCTTCTGCCCAGGCCTCCTTGAGGAATTCCTGGTTGTAGCGCAAGAACGTCGCTATGCCGCTGTAAGCAGATAAGACCACTCTCTTGGTTGTCGATGCAATGGTGCTTAGGAGCTCTACGCCGGGTAGAGAATTTATCCACTCCGGTGTAGATGAGCCCACATCGTTGAGATGAAATACGTCTAGAAGTTGTTCAGTAAACGTGGTAGCAAGCTCATACAGAGCGCCTGCAACGCAGGCAGATTGTCAACATGTAAAAGTCTCATTAATAAGATCTCATTAGCGACGCAAGTATGCTAACGAAGATTGAATAACCCCAACCTCTCGACAATGTACCCAAGTCTGCCGCACAACCCTCTCCGGCACGCATTATCTCAGCATCTTTTCCGACACCAACAAACAAACAAGAACAAGCAAACAAGCAAACATTAAAGAATCTGTGTGTAATATACGGCTTTTAATAATTGAAACGCCACACGTGTTTTACATGGCAAAACGTGAAAACGACGTCGAACCGGGTTTACACCAAAGCTTACTAGCATTTCGATTGTCTGGCGATGTCGTTTAGCGTCAAAGCGTGCCAACAATTAATTTCAAGGTGAAATGTAAAACCATCGGCGTTTATTCCGTGGCCGCGCACGGCTTCCCATTGGATGACATTGTACACTCGACCCTCGTGGACTGACACGAGATTACCCTATGACCTTTCGTGACCTCGGCTTCGGATAAATGCACTTACAATTCGTAAGTAAGGTGATGATTTGATGTACAGAGAATAGTCTACTAACGACATTTTGAGCCGTTTCGAGGGCCCCTGCTCAGGTGACCTCAGCATTAAGTGATGCACCACCATTAACGCATTTGACTTATTCCCGTCGGGGTTACGCTACGTTTGGTGGGTCATTTGAAGCTAAGCTCAAACTTTCATCAGTCTCAACTTGAACATTCAGAAATTTTAGCAAAGATCACGACCTTTGATAGCGTTCATAAAAAACACAGAACTCTTACAAAGTCAAGAAGCAAACATAGCTGACGCAACACGTCAAGAATTTCACGGAAAGGACCGATTTATCACACTGTTTGTCAACGCAAGTATTTTGAGACGATGCCATATGTCAGTGATTGGACGTGACAGTAGGATGAAATGAGGTAGGCCACGTGAAATCTTTTAAAGTTCAGCTGGGCCAAATCGTATTCGGACTGCCGGGCGGTTCAGAAGATAGTTACCTCCGGTAGCTATTCGGTAAAAGACAGCTACCTCCGAAGGACTGGGGTTGGCATGCCTCAACATGTCGCTGTGCCGCAGAGGGCTCGCGCGCTATTCACGTGATCAAGCACTGTGTTGCTCAGTGAAATACCCTAGCAAACTTACTTTACGCCTAAATGCTTTGAATAATCTATTGTACCTCCGTCAGAGTTGGCGAGTGTGACTCACGATTACAAATATTTAAAACTAGCTGTTTCCGGTTGGTAAATCAGATAACAAACCTTTCACATGTTTGCTGATGTCGTCGATCCCGCTGCTAGCAGTATTGGCCAGGGATGCTATATTCTCCACTATCCAGGATGTTGCCGCGCCTAGTTTGTCCAACACTGGCGTCATCGCCGACTGGACAGCGGCCAGGACGCGCCAGCCGGCCGCCCCGGCCGCCGACCACGCGGAGGACGCCAGCGAGGCCACCGACGACCAGACGACATCCACCACGCTCTGCACGGTGTCTAGTAGAAGCTGAATCGCCTGGCCAACTTCTGCCGCCTGTGAAAGCGGTGAAAAACATTATGCAAGAGATTGATCAAACACGCATTGCGGTCACAAAGGGGGAACAACAAGGAAAAAGTGTTCCGTTCGTATTCGTGAAATTAAATTGACGAATTCAGTGTCAATTCAAGAGGAAGCAAATCCGTATATGTGCGCAGCATCTTTATTTTTGAGTGAGTTTGGTGTGGCTTTCCATGAATGGCAATTATGGAATTGTTTTTAGTCCAAATGGGTTAGACTAAATCTTGGATTGGGTTGAGCATTAATGCACTGGTATGATGCGTGGTGCATGTGTAATGCATCATGCGAATAGCGTGGTACGTTAAGTCACTGCAGTAAAAAGTTTGTGATGAAAAAGTGCGCCTACTCACCACAGCGCTTATGGCGTCTATTTCTTCACTGATGTATGCTTGCACTGCCTCAGAGAATAGCCGACATGCTCTGACCAAAAGCTTAAGGCCTTTTGAAAAATCTGTCGTGACGATTTTCCAAGCTGACCTGACCGCAGTCAAGATCTTCCCTGCGGTCGCTCTCGTCACGGTCCTGAAAATAACATCCATTTTACACGCCATGCTCAAAAAGTTCGCCCTAAAATGGTCCCCGATACTCATAATTCCATCCTTAGTGGCAAAGCACATCATTTACCATGACGGATATTATCATAAACGGCACAACATAAAGTCCATGGCGAGACGAGTGAAATGGGCTATAAATTTGCGCCTTGTTATCTTTACGGAACTGTTCGTAAATTCTTTGGTATTGACGCTTCGCTGCCTCGCCCTGCAGATGCGTGCAAAAATTATACTTGGCATGCCCTGACAAAAGGCGAACTGGTGCCATTATACCCTGGGTTTCATGAGAAGCTTCCATCACTCTAAAAGATTTTTCACTTTACACGTAGACTAAGATTTTCAGCTTGATCACAACAACCTTGGTGACCCACTGCAGCCATGGACAATTTTGGGAGGACGTGTTCTGAATGATCATGTTTGGTGTCCTACCGCTTGCATAAAGGGAGACCTGCGTAAAATGCAACCGAGCATCGTTGCACTCGTGTTCAGAGCATTAACACGCACTGGAATGGGGGAGGGGAATAATTTGACCCCCGTTCGGAAGACTTTTCCAGAACAACTTTCGAGCAGTCACACCAAATATAAGTTAGCCGTAGGCAATTGAATAGCCAATGTTTTGGCAAAAACCTTGGATATATTGGACCTATAGCAGGTCAAAGTCAGGACACGCCTGTCGACAAAGACGACTCACAGGGGGTCGTCAATATGATGTTGTAACAGAGTTTTAGAGGACGCCATACAACGTCGAAGTAATTTGTTAGACAACTGGACGGTTGAAATCAGGATAACGATAAACTCTGTTGACCTTGGGTAAGGTATGAATGTGAGGTCAAGGTTAACACCAAACTACCTTTTTTACTGGAAATCTTGCAGTAAAATATAATTTTGACGCTCCGATTTCAAATTACTAAATTACAGGAATGTAAAATATCGCTTAACATGACTTTAAGAACGATGGAGGAGGCCACTAACCTAACGCGACTTCGATCAATCCTTTGCTTTAAATGGCTGCCGCTTATGGCAGTTTTAGCACAAGTGGGGAATGGAGTAGGCTGCATCTATTGTTATTATGCATATTCAAGATCAGCTCACAGCAACGCAAGGTGCCCACACGCTGAAAACCCGAATTCACCCTTCATTATTTTTACGGCTTTACATTTCTTAACCCGCGCCCAGAAATACCGGTTTTCATATCGCAAACCGACGGGGGTGGGGAAGGCGCGGCGGTGCAACCACCGCTTCGCCGCCTGCCCCAGCCGCAGTTCGTCGTCCAAGGTTCCTAACAGACCGTCGTTTCTAAAAACAGGAATATTAAAGACACGTTCTTGATGTAAAAACGTATCAATGGGAAAATCTTCCTAAGCTGTGAGATAAGTATTTGCAAGGTTAAAGTTATATGACACTCAAAAGATCGAACATGCCCTGGAAAGTTAAAGCTTGACCTAGTCTTACCTTGGATGACCTGATTTTGCAAAAGACACCAGAGCGATAATAATGCATCTCAAAATAATATAGATCAGATGAATACTATAGTATCCTCTTTAAGTGAATTTCCTGGGATAAAAGCGTTATCTGTCACTTTTGAGCAAAACATCACCGGCGTGACGTCAGAAATAGTTTGCATGCCATAAAGCACCCAATGCAGAGAGCTTCTTATAATCCACATGCGCAAGGCTGATGTAAACTCAGCTACCCCTCACTATAGCACCATGGTTCAAAACTGTTTTTAGGGCGCTCCATAATCTGAGAAAGCGTGTGAGCCTCTCTTGTAACACTGCAGCTTGACTAACCAAAACTCATTACTCTACTCATTCAACTACTCATTCAATGCCGATGGAAAATATAGATACGTGAATTGTGGAAAGACCGCACACAACGGGTCAGACTGGGCCGATGTCTCCACAATCCCTGCGTTGCAGGGACACAAAACCAATACAGTTTGAGGGCAGAGAGAACGAACTGTGCCGCTAGCAGAAGCGTGGGTTGATATGAGTAGCCGGTCCCGCGAACTTTTAACGCCAACCAGGGGTCCGCAACTTTGGGGCGTTTTTAAGGACTGCTGTCAGCTTTAACGCCAACCAGGGGTCCGCAACTTTGGGGCGTTTTTAAGGACTGCTGTCAGCTTTCAGCACCCAGAGAAGTTGAAGTTGTCAGCTTTCAGCACCCAGATAAGTTGGAGTCATAATCTCTGTACTGAGTGGGGCAGACGAATGTTCGTCGCATTTAGCACGTGTATACAAGGCGCTAAGCAACCTCATCAATGAGTGCACCGGTGATCCCCATGAGTGCATCAGTGACTGACTGATATCTGCATTGCTCACCTATTTTGGAACAGGCCTGTAACGCAGCACACTTATGGCCTGAGCCCAACGGGATTGGATCCTGTAAACTATGGATGTACCTAGGCAAGCTCATTATGAACAATATACCTACATCCAGAATATTCGCATATTCTCAACACTTTGGTCACAGTCGCTCATCATTCAAATTCCTTCCATTACGGCGAATGCAATAGCGTGCCACGATTAGATCCAAGCCCAGACCGACGGCCTGTCAGCTTTCAAGCGGTATTATCTGTTAATAAGCGTGCGACACTGTCTCGGGAAAGCTCTAACCGCCACTCTTGAAAGAGCGGCCTGTCAGTGCGATGCTCAGGCCTGCTAACGCGGGCTCGCTGCGATATCTCGCTTCGTAAGCCTGGGATGTATCGTCACCGGCGTCACGCCAGCGATGCGCGCTGCATGCGGGGTTATTATTACATCAGTTTGTTTCATGCCGCACTTTGCGTCCTATACGTGACAGAATGTGAGCCATCTCAAGCTCGTCTGGTGCAGATGACTGCACACTTTTACTCACAGTGACTGACGTCCATGCTGCAGGTAAATCTTGGCCACTTGGTAGATGGTATTCATGAACAGTTCGTCCCTGGCGTACATAGCTTGCCACTGGTCGCGCAGACTCCGTAGGTCTGCAGCTACGGTGCCGTACTCGCGGCGGCTGTAGTTGACCACGGCCACCCACTGCCGGCTCAGCACCGGCTGGATGAAGCGCTCGTTCCGCGCCGCCTCCTCCCGCACGAAGCCGGTCATGTCGGCCAGCCAGGACTGGGCGTCGGCAGACAGCGCCGTGATGCGCGCCACCGCACGCCGTCGCACGTCGACAGCGATCTGCCAGCGCCAGAGCAGGACGGCGCTCAGCTGCTGGGGCGTGCCCAGCGTGAGGCGCAGGCTGGCGTCGGTCACCTGCATGCCGTACAGGTTCCTGCTGGCCACCACCGAGATGAGCCGCCCGGTCGGCATGCCGGCGTACAGCGACAGCTGCCGGCCCCGCTCGTACGTCGCGTCCATCCGCACCTCCAGCCGCTTGGTCGGAGTGCGCGTCTGCACGCGCAGCTCCAGTGGACGATGGATTCCGTCAAAATCGGACTCAAGACGCAAAACAGTGGACACCCAGCGCGGGCATCTCGTGTGAGCCGCGAAGAGAGACGTCATGTGTGCTGGTCAGCAGCCGAGCGACGGCCCTCCTCTGGGGTTTGTCCATTCTGGTCTGAATGCTGAAGGCCTCAATTTCTGAGATGTTGTTCTGGTACGTGAATGACATATTCTGCGCTATCAAGAGTGGACCACGCAGTGAGGTCGCTAACACGGTAGCATTCAAACCGGACACTGCCTGGTTCGCCCTGGCGGCCAGGTCAAAATGCCCCACCTCGGCCGTGGATCTGTTAACGAAAGACACAGCGACGACGAAGTCAAAATCTGGCTCCTTTGTATAGTGAGCCACGGCCGTGGCTTTGAATGTGCGATCGATGGGATTCACCTCTACAGAGCTGTCAAGCCCGACGTCGTGGTCAAGTGCGGAATGTGCGATGCCGAGTGAGACGTTGTAGCGACGACTCTGCCAACTGTCCCAGATGCTGTCCGTCCTGAGGTCAATGAACGCGGCCATTTTCTTTTCGGGCGATTTGACCGCGTCCCAGTGCAATAGTACTTCAGTGTTGACGTTGTCAAGGACTTTGTTTATGAATACCGGCTAGGGACAGCACTCTGTTTGGCAATTTTGCCGAGCATCCAACCGCGTAGTGAGCGAGCGTGATTGCAGACAAGTCGCGGTAAGATATGTCGAGTCCGATGGCAGATTTCTCGTCCCACTGGAACATGAAAGCGGAATCCAATCTTGTCAAGCTTCTGCTATGCTTCCCCTCAACGTAGAGCTTTCTTTTGAACGCGACTGTTTCTACGTGCACCAGCATGTCTGTTTGCAGCATTCGTAGCGTCACATTCATGCCAATCTTGTTATTGTCGCGGTCACGAAGATCCCAAATGCCTTGGAGTCCCAAAACAGTTGTAGCTTCCGCTTGGTAAAAGCCCGCCAACGCGACAGGCCACCAAGGATTGTCAAGCTCTAGTTTGAAGTCGTCGACGGGTCCCTGGAGGGTAAGCCGTACAATGGCCAACGTGTTCAGATCACACGACAGGCCAGCGCGGAAGTTTGTCGATGACTTGTCGCTGAACCCGGTCAGCAAGAGTGTCTTCACCTCTTGGACGGATGTTTCTAGCAAGTTTGATATCTGGAACTTGCGTTTGTCTTCCGATAGGCTGAACCTGTTTGTGATAAACCGAGCGCCAAGAACACCACTAAGCTCTACGCTTGCGTCTATCAAAGATCTGTACGCCCCTTTAAGTGCCACAGACGCTTGGTAGCTACCTACACGACCTAAAATCTTGCCGACATAGGATACCGTCACCAAGTCTAATAGGTTGGTGAGATCAACTTCAAACCCTGAGAACGTTTCGAATGGGGTGTGAAGCGACCCTCGAACTATCACGTTATAACCATCCACCAAAAAATCAGCATTTGTTCCAACAGTTTTGCCCTGGTAAGTTATCTCTGCTTGAATGCCTTTTCTTTTGCCCGACTGTAGTCGACCAATGACGGCGATTTCAGCGTAGTTTTGTAGAGGTAGCTTCAAGCGCAAACTGATTGCTTGCAATTCCGGCAAATTTTGCAGTTTCCCATTCATATGAATTTTGTTTGAGCCATATTCGAATTTTGCGTTAACAGTGCTTCTTTTATCTGTTGATATTTGTACCAAATGGGGTACAAATCGATCAAAAGGTGCATTGGCGATCAAGAAACACTTAAACTCTTCTCCCCATTCCAAACTAGTTTCGGTCGTCTCCGATGATCCGGGAAGTCGCACACTGCAAGTAATTCGTTTACTTCCAGCCACTGGTAGACTTGCCGCAGCATAAAACTGCATATCGTCCTCCACGCCCTTGACAGACAGAAACACTTCTTCAGTCCGGACTACAGCTAGCGTTGTGGGCAAGAGACCTGCCAGCTTTATGTTCCGTATGCCGTCAAGAGTGGTGATCAAGCTTCCCTGAAGTCGATGCAGGTTTTGGTTGTTGATGGAAGGGGTCAAGGTTGCCATGATTTCATAATGCGGTAGTATTTTCATCGATGACCTTAGCTTTGAATTGACAAGGAAACCCTTCCGGACTTCGATGAAGTTAGCTATGCTTATTGATATTGGCCAGACTGTCGATCGAACTACAATCATGTTATCGACAGAAACCCCATCAACAACTGCGAGCCGAAACACGAAAGCCGTTTCGTGGTTTCCGGATCGTACTGAAGTATTGGCAACTAGATTCCTTGTTCCGCGGGCGTCCAGCACTCCGAATACTTTCACATTGCCAGCCGGCAGTCGCTTGGAGCTGACATCCACTTGTACTTCATACGGTGCTGCAAGAGTCGAAGCGGCTTTTAATATGCTGACATCCCCAAAAGCACCAAGAGTGATCAGTAGCGTCCTTGAGAGGGCTGTTTTGTTTGTTTCCAACGCCAGCTCAACATCTTGCAGGCCAAACAGAGGAGTGTCAAGAGCCGCATTAACCAACGTACGTCCATCCTCCTTTCGTATTTGCGCTCGCGCCGAGTGGTGCAATTCCCCGTAAGTGGCCGTGGTGTAAACCGACTCCAGCCGTGGCATATTTGTGTAGGCCACAGCGATGGACAGAGGTGGAATTGGCAAGATGGGGGACTGAAGACCGAACTGCAGCCGCGCTCCGTGCTCGCCCACCGCGTCAAAGGAACCAAACGTCTCGTGAATAACATCATCAAGGCTGACTGACGCCTTGAAGGCTGACGGAGTTTTTCTCAGTTCCACCATGAGGCCCGGCAGAAGCGGACCCTCTGCCGACCCCTGTAGCTGGAATGCAGTACCGGTGAGATCGTACTCGGCAGACAGGAAGTTCAGCTCGCCCACTGCCAGAATCAGGTCGCCGCTCGCCGCCGTCCAGTCCTCGCGCCTCCTCCTCAGCGTGCACCGCACCCCGTGCCGCGTCTCCGGTAGGCTGAGATCCAGCTCCAGCGAGAACTTGGCCGGCTCCAGGGCGTACGCGAACACCATGCTCCTGCGCCGGCCGTCCCCGCCGCGAGTCATCACCTTCATGGCGATGGAGCTGAGCGACTCCAGGTCGATGCTGACCTGGACGCGCTGCGGCGGCCCGCTGCCGATTGTCATCATTCTCGCCTCCACGTGACGCACGCCGATGAAGTAGTGACCGCGATACTGATACGATCCGGCCAGCACCAGGAAGTCCAGAGTCCTCCAGTCGGGCTGGAATACCTTGACGGTGGCCGAGCGGCCGTTCAGACGCACAAAAAAGTCCATCGGGCGCCGGACGTCACTCAGTAAACGCCCGTAGAAGGCGTGCCTGCCGAACCGCAGCTCCAGCTCCAGCGCGTCCGGCTGCGTGACGCTGCAACAGAGCAGAAATCAGTGGTGCTGCCACAGAACAGAAGACAGTGGTGCTGCCATAGAACAGAAGACAGTGGTGCTGCCGCAGAACAGAAGTCAGTGGTGCTGCCACAGAACAGAAGTCGGTGGTGCTACCACAAAACTGAGTTCAGTCCTGTTGGATAGAGCAAAAGTTGGTAATGCTGGAGCAGATCGGATGCTGGGTGATACTACTACAGAGCCGGGCCATGTTGCGACAGATCAGAGACCAGTTATACTGCAATGGAGCAGCGGCCGGGTGGCAATACAAAAGACCATAAGTCGAGAAGGTATTACACTAGGGGGGGGGGGGGGAGGATGGAACTCACCAGAGCTCGGATGGTACGGCAACGCAGCAGAGGTAGGAGGGTGCTGGAGCCGGCTAGAGGTCAAGTGGAACAGCAAGGGGAGCCGAGACCGGCAGTGCCACAACAGAGGAGCCGACGTCGGTAGTGCCACAACAGAGGAGCCGAGGTCGGTAGTGCCACAACTGAGGAGCCGAGGTCGGTAGTGCCACAACAGAGGAGCCGACGTCGGCAGTGCCACAACAGAGGAGCCGAGGTCGGTAGTGCCACAACAGAGGAGCCGAGGTCGGTAGTGCCACAACAGAGGAGCCGAGACCGGCGGAGCTACAAAAGCGAAGTCGAGGCTGCTAGAGCCGCAAATTGCAAGGAACAAGACCGCTTATCTGCCACAAAGTCTGTGCTGGAATCGGAAACGCCACTAATTCTCTCATCGCGGGTTATGAAAACAATGACGGCTTCACTTTGATGGTTCGGGAATGACGAAAATGAAGCCAGCCGATCTATTATAACGCGCTAGGGTGGGGATCAAGTGGACTCCCCCCGAAGGCTTTCACATAACGATTTTGGAACGGAACGGTGTAGATACGCCGAACTTTGTATAGCTTTAGGCAGCTGAAAAACGAATTTTTTGGGCTGCAAAACATATGTACCTTGTAAGGTCGCTGACCTACGTCAGGTCAAAGCCAGGTCGTGGCTGTCAGCAACTGCAATTTCTAGGGAAGCGTTCAATCTGATGAAACAGGGGAGTGTAAGACAAGGCCGTCCATTTCTGAGATAGTTTCTTGAGCATTATTTAGGATTTCAACGAAATAAATTGGCATAGGATCGGATGCAAAGGCCAGGGCAAAATGCAAGCCAGCCTGGATTTTTACTCGACAACTACTGTACGGGCTAATTTCTGGTGCTCATTTCAAATTTCATAATAATAGAGTCCAAAACAGACATCTGCTATTAACTTACAAATGGTCGGAGTAAGCTAGTGACATTACATGTCCCAGGTCATGATTTCTTATGAACATACCACCTAGCGTAATCCCTGACATTTATTCAAATGAAAAAATCAGTCTCGCAGGATTTGGGTTACCACCGCCTTTTAAAAGTTATAGGCGTCGCTGAAATCAAATGAACACCAGTGACCTTTTGCTTGCATCAGATATCTAGGCTAAAGGCGGTTGCATGAGCAGGTCCGGGGGCATTTTGGACACCAAGCCAGGGTTTGACCCTGTTTGGCCTCATTTGACCCGAAGAACATAGCCTAGTTACCTTAAGTTTTGACACAAGTGATTTCACACACAGTTCAACGCACCCTGCGAAATTGCTGTTTCTAGCCTCCTTAGTTTGTTTTTAGATTTTAGGGGTTGAATTGACCCCCATCTGAGTGAAAGGGTCAAACGGTACACACACACACACACACACACACACACACACA